TACACAATTATCTTTTGTGCCATACAGCCTATTTGTATGGAATTTATTATATTTTATTATAGAAATTTAAGTTTTTAATAGTTATAGAATATATATATTTAATGGTCATACACACACACACACACACACGCACACACACACACACACACACACACACATACTTGTTGGGAGATGGGACTCCTTTCTTCAAGGTTTCCCAACTCAGAGCAAGAAAATCATAATTAATATACTCTGATGTTATGATGATAAATTTCATAGTTATTTAGCTAATAATTGTGACATAAGAAAACATATCTAGAATAAAATGTTAGCTGCTTATTTCTTTCATAAATGTTTAAATAGAATTCTTCCTTCATCCCTTACCCATCCAAAGATAATTAGCCAGGCATGGTGGTGCACACTGGTAATCCCAGAACTCAGGAGACTGAGGCAGGAGGATCACTGGGAGTTCAAGACCAGCATGGGATACACAATGAGTTCCAGGACGGTCTCAACGGCATAGTGAGACCCTGTCTCAAAAATAAAACAAAAAAACTGGTGATAAATGCCAAATAATTTTTGGAAAACAACTATTAAGGTCTATGCCAGCACAATATTAGGGAAAGAGGACGGAGAGTGTTTCAGTAGCCTAACTTCCTCCAGGGTGTAGACAGTCTTACATTTCCTTGTTTGTGCACCAGGAAATTGATACAGTGAGGACATAATGGTTCTAGTTTCTGCCTTTAGGTAACAGTGCTGAGAGAGGTGCATCAGCAACACAAATTGTATAATAAGAATGTAACATTATAATGTAGCATTTCTGGGCCAGAGATTTAGCTCAGTGGTGCTGCTGCGTGCCTCACAAATGCAAGGTTCCAAGTTCAATCTCCAGTACTACTACTACTACTACTACTACTACTAATAATAATAATAATAATAATAATAGTATGGCATTTCTACTACAAATATAGTAATAAAAGAGTACTCTAGTATCACATTTCTTTTGAATATGAGAGATACCTTCAAAGTGTGATGAGAATTCAGAGTGGCACATATTTAGCACAGCAATGACAAAAGATTCTAGATGACTTCATTGGAGAGAAAAGAGGGGAAGACAAAGGGAGAGGGAGGGCATAAGAAAATTAAACAGAAGACTTCAAAGGTTGCACTGGAGATGACTGCTCATTTTGGGAGAGAATGGGAAAAAGAAAGGCTGGACAGTAAGAGAAAATATGATGGTATCAGTTTAATAGGAACAACAGCGTAAGAGTTTATCAAAAGCATAAGTAAAGAAGGGGGGAATAATGTGAGATAAAAGTGGAAAATAGGCCTAGGGTTAATTTATGGATGAACTTTAAATATAGAATTCGATATACTGTAGTAGGTAGCAGGAAACGTTGGAAAATTATGTTTGCGACTGACTTAGTAAGAGGTGTATATTTTGAAACTTATTCTAGTGTAGGTGTGGCATATGGCAGACAAAACTGTCAGATAAAAAGTATGATTGGCAGCCTGTTGTGATGGTCCCAGCTTGCAGTTCAGAGGTCCAGAGTTATGCTGTTCATAGGAGTAGTAAGGAGAAATACATCCTAGTAGTAAACTGATTGTGTTAGTGATCTTCTCGTTGTATAAGAAAACACTTGAGAAAAAACAAAATTTAGGGGAGAAAGCTTTATTTTGGCTTACGGTTTCGGGGAGTTTAGTACGTGGCCACTGGCTCCATTGCTTTTAGGCCTGTAGTGAGGCAGAAACACCATGCTGGAAAGGGCCAGGAAGAGGAAAGCTACTGACCTCATTGCAGCCAGGAAACAGGAGAGAGTGAGAGAGCCAGAGAGGAAGGGGCCAAGGATGAGATACAGTCCCGAAGGTTACACCTCCAGGAGCCATTCCTTTAACTAGGCTTCACCTCCTGTTTCTATCGCCTTCCAATAATGCTGTCAAACCGTGCATTCATTGGTGGATTATTCCACTTAACGAAGGTAAAACTGTCACCATCTCGTCACTTCTTTGACTCCTCCTTTGAACATAGCTGTATTAGGAATCAAGCCCTCAATAGATAAGTCTTTCACTTCACGTTTAAATGTAGCAGTGACTTTGAAGTAATTATGCTCTAGTAACACATTTGAACGTAGGGAACAGGGAATTTGAACAATTGAGAGAATTCTTAGATTTCCAGGCTGAATTACAGTGGGAAAGTAGTTACAATACTCTTAAATATAATAAACCAGTCAGCAAGAGAAGCAGATTTGGAGGAAAAAAAGTATGATCTTGGCTTTTGTATTATGAGTCACCTATAGATTAAAAGCACAGTTATTTCTTGGTCACACTGTATGTCTGCCTGAGAGACAGACAAGAGAGCATACACAAGGAGTATTCCTCTCCATGAAGTCGCACAGAGACATGGACTCCTCTTCAAGAGCTGCTGAAGTAGGAGAGAAAGACTGAAAGTATCGCACAGGCATTTTGTGTACTGAATCAGGCTGCACATGACCCACAACACGTGCTCATATTTCACTGGCCACGTGACCCTACTTGAGTGCAAGGGGCTGAGAACCACAACCTCTTGTGGGATCTGGGCAAGCACTGACAATGGGCACAGCAGATGGACAGACTCCAAGGTGACGCTTTCCATGGCTCTGAGTAGTGTGTAGGTAAAAGGGGGAAAAATAGGAAAAGAATACCTCTGTCTCACTTTATGTGAAAAGGTGCTCTGTGTCAACCAAAGGAACTGTGGTCCCCTGGAAACTGGGTTTTACTCATAAGCAAAAGTTACTTTTAAATCTAAGCATAATGTTGTCTGTTCACACTATATAGTATATATGGTATATAGAAGCAAGAGGCTCATTGCCTCAAGTCCTCTTGTAACGTTCCTGAGAACTTCTAGAAATTTTATATGTGGTATTACTAAATAAGTCCTTTGTTCTGACCCTGCCTCACAAGAAGAAATGCAGACAAATATTTTTCATTTCTAAATGTTCAAAAATACAATTTGTAGTAGGTTTACAGGCACTTGGAAGCTTAACATATTCTTAAATTATTCAAGTTTATATATGATTCCATGCACCAAAGGCATGATAAGAAAGGCTGAGCTAAATATATTCTCCAAAACTGTACTGTAATACCTCTGATCATTTTAATCAAGTTACACTCATTTTCATACCACAAAATAATTGTGAGCAACCAGGGAAAATATTCAGTAAGTTGCATGGCAGTAACGTATTCTCAACCTTTATGTATTTTGATTTCCTTACTGAACTGCAAATACCAGTCTACCTAAGAAAACGATACTGACTCTGTTTAAATGTTGCACTTTGATAAGGTTAGATAAAATCTATTAACATCTGCTGCATCAGTATACCACCCTTTTCTCCTCTCAGGCTTCCTACACAGTCTATATTTACTCTGTTTTCTAATCTTTAGTGCTGGAAGTTGTTGATGCTGCCGAATTAAGTTTATCTTGCTTTACTCATGATAACTGCACGCCACCATGCGCAATATCCTTGAATATCATCATAGTTTTATAAACATGGAAGTTAGATTGAGTTGAAATAATTTATAAAGTTAATCTATGTATGTAGATAGTATTTATAAACTTAGAGATAACATTTATAGTACATTATAAATTGTGTGTATGGATATTAATTTATATTTGTAAATAAAATGTTTATTAATTGTATTAATAATTTTATAAACATAAAATAACATCTATTTTTATATAGTACACTATACCGTGTACAATGTTATGGATAACATGAGTGTTATATGTAATATATGATATGTGAGAAAACTATTGTAGACATTTTCTTACAGTAAGTCTAAAAAATTGTAATTTAGTTGTACCTATTCAATTTGAAATATTGGGCGGAAGTCCACTTTGAAAGAAAACCAACAGTTGAACATCACAAAAGGAAATTTATATACTCATTTATTTAATATGCAATTTATGGCAAAAAGCATTATAAATACCTTGTATCTCTGTACATTCATCGAAAACAGCAGCCATCTTTATAACTTGGTAATCTAAGGCGTGCTTCATAAAGAGAAGTTTTAATGTAGAAATCAAAGCACTGAGTCATACTCTCCCTAAGATGAGATCTTCCCTTTTTCTATTTTAAAATACAATCTGAGTGCCTTTAGAACTGGTGTAATACAATATTATGGAGATTTGTGTGAATTGATGCTACTTCTAAGGTGCCTGGCACACAGCATGGGGAGAGAAGAAATACTGTGAGGTTCTGACTTTGAAGCGAACTGTTTCCTTCCACGTCCAATAGTGACGTTCCCACTAGAAAACCTCTGCCAGCAAGGTCCAATCAGTTTGGCCAGGTAACTAAGTTCCCATGTGGCACATAGTTTCTGGAAGTCTGTGGTCTTTTAGCTGGAGGTATGATGAATGGGACACAGATGTGTGTGTGTGTGTAAGTATCCAGAATTAAAATATTTTTGAGTTTTGTTGAAAACTACCTTGAGAGAATAAAGGATGTATAACTTTCCTAAAAGCTCAGCATTGATAAAATACAAGAAAATCCTCCTGGACACACATGATTTTCAAATGTAACCTTCTAATGCCAGCAAGCGAAGAACAGAATTTTCAAAAATATTTTGAATGAAAAAGAAGCATGATTTATTCCCTGATTTTTAAAGCAGCGTTTTGGTTTTGTGTTTTTGTTTTATAAGTCTGGTGCACAAAGGGACTGCTTAACAAAGGTACTGACAATTGCTGATTTTGTAATGTTCAGAATAAAAACTTTACAACTAGCTTTTATGATTTAAGTTTCAAGCTATCATTTTCTCCTTTATTTTAAAACTTAGGTCATAGAATGTGAACTAAAAAATAACTTTTTAGGGCCGGGGATTTAGCTCAGTGGCCCCGCTCCTGCCTCGCAAGAGCAAGGTCCTGAGTTCAATCCCCAGTACAAAAAACAAAAACAGAAACAATTTTTAAAGGTTTTTTTTTTTTTAAATAAAGAGGTGTAGCAAGCACATTTTATTTTTAAAGACATTGTTTATCTATCCTGGGACCTTTACTATTACTAAATTTGAAACTCACTTTACCATGACAATTTGTAGGTACTGCTAACAAACATAGAACCTACAGAGTCACACATTTACACTAGAAATGAAAACGGCGCTGTTAAAAGGTACAGGGGATCAGCAGAGTATGCATAACATGAGAACTATACAGAGGGATGTTGACCTCTAAAGGGGTAAGTAGTGCAGGAGTTCCCTGTCTAAAACCTCAGCTGCATTCCTCTTTCCATATGTGTTGGATCCCACATCAGTAGGCAGGAGAGCAGCACCAAGGTTGTGGCTGGAACGAACCAAAAAAGTTGTCAGGCGTTGTGTCGCACAAGTGGCAGTGTTGCATTTCCGTTTGTCCACCTGAAGACTGGTGTCACTGAACGAATATGAAAAGTTAGAGACTTTAGAATGAGGATGGGATACAGCCGTGTGACCCAGAAAATCTCATGGGGATGAAAACATCTTTCTTTATGGTCCATGTTGCCTTTCCCGGTACAGTTCTATTTTTCTGAAATTCAGAATTTATTCCAAATAATCATAATAACGATGTGTGTTTGCCTTGCAGGCTCCTAAATGTTATTGATGAATTTGTTTTCTGACGTACGAGAAGCATTTAAATGTAAAATTTGTATTTATTCTGAAATATATGAAATTTTAAAAATATATGAATATCCTACATCTTTTCAACAAGAATTAAACAATATTGATTAACTTTTGTTAAGTTCCTTGAGATAATTTAATCAGGAATGTTAAAGGGGAAAAGTCAGGAGGTAACTAAGCAGTATTCAACCATATGAATGAATTTCGAGAATGTTATGCTATATGTAATAAGCCAGTCACAGGGCCGGGGATTTAGCTCAGTGGTTCTGCTGCCTGCCTCGCAGGCACAAGGACCTGAGTTTGATCCTCAGTACAAAAAAAAAAAAAAAAAAAAA